GCGTCTAACGATTTTCACAACCAATTCCCCATTTGAAAATTTTCCCCAGAGATCTCAAATGATTCACAATATGGGTGAACCATATTTGCATCTGATTAACGTTCTCTTCAAGTTTCATTCACGATGTGGTATTTAAAATTTGGGATGAATTTAAAAAATTATTTACTTAAAATAGTAGTATGTGTTGTGTTAATATTGAGATAACATAGAGAAAAACAACGGAAAAAAATAAAACTGAGAAAATCATGACTGAATATAAAGAGAGAGGGTTAGATAGATGATAACGAGATTTATATAGGTTTTCTTGAACCTTGGCTCAGTCCTCTCTCACAGAGATATTCTTGAGAGTTTTAATAATTACTTGAGCTTTTCAGGTTATTCCCGTGAACCTTTGTTACAGGCGAATCGTGAGATTTTACATTTTCTTACCCCCAAATTAAACAAGAGTTGTTCCACGGTCTGAGCTCACGAACTGTGTAGAGATTTTACCGACTAATCTTAATAACCAAATAGAACTTTTACCGGGCTAAGATCTATAATCAAACAAATATTTTCATTAGTTTATCTATATAATCAAACAAGAAACTTCAAGAGAATAACGCTCTTGAAATAACCAAACAATGGCATGACACTAGTACAAAACTTTCATCACATGTAGTTTTCATTCACAATGCACTAAGGAAAGTTTTAGTGAAAGAAAAACATCAAAGAGAGATGAGAAGGGTAATAAAATAGAATAGGATAGAAGAAATCCAAATTCTAGCATGTTTTCAAATGATGAGAAACCTTCTTTATATAAGAGAAAATATGGTTCAAAAAGGAAAAAATCCATGGTATGTTTTAAGGGAATAATCTATTAGCCTAATTGATTACTATAAATGAATAATTTATTATTCAAGCCACAAGTGAAGTGTTTTGATTTTTAGTCGTTTCCAATCATTAAGAGACTGTTTCAATTGATTATTGGTGTTACAAAGTGAAAATAATCGATTAGCACTAGAGCTAATAGACTATCCTTTATAAGAAGTGCTTCTAATTGATTGGATAGTTCTCTAATCAATTAGTTAGGCGTTTAAAAAAATTTAGGTGGTTTTATCAAATAAAGATAAGCTTCTTAAAAATTGTATTGTGCGTATGAGTTTCATTAGTAGCTTAGGAATTACTTCCCTAGTTTTACAAGACTCTCATCATTTAGACAGATACGACCAGACGAGCTTTCACACTTCTTCTTTTTGATAATTATGAAGCTTCAAGTTCCTCTGCCAGATACACTGATCATATAATCACTTTATTGAAACCTTAAATATTTTACTTGATGAGGATTGAGATATCTTCATGTTAATCATCATTATTAGAGAGTTGGAAAAACATCACCATTACTTGATCAAACACAAACACAACTTGGTATTCAAACATTTTCACTTGATAATCGCATCAAATAATATTCAAACTCCATATCTTTATCAACACACCTTGACCAATATATCTTGATATTCAAGCACCATCAATTAGTCAACATATCTATTGTTCCTTTTGGATTAGCTGCATTTTGCAAAATAATAACATGGGGAAGTGTTCAAGTTTGCTCAGCTACTGCAAGATGATTTTATGGTACATAAGAGACACATGTTGGATGTGATTTCACAACATGTAGGTACAACATCTGGGCCTTGCTCAACAGGCCAGATTGTTGGGTTTTGGGACAAATTTTCTGTTGAAGATTCAATTAGATTTTATTACTTTTATTTAGCAATGTGATTATATAATTTGTTACACAACTGTGAAGATCAAATCAAATTTAAATATGGTTTTAATTTGAATTTGAAACAAACTAAATCATATCTTTCAGCTGGGGATATTTATGGAACAAATCTTATCCAACATATTATCCAAAGATTCTGAACGAAATTAAATAAAAGATCCAAAGAGAAAAATCCTAGAATGAATTGCTATATAAGGAGACTCAATTCTCATGTTGAAGTGAGGGTTTTTGTTCACAAGATTAAAGTCTTTGTGTTTAGGTTTTATGAGTCTTGCATTCCATGTTAATGCCCTAATTAGGATTAAGGTTGAATCTTTGTGTGCCCCATTATGATTATGTAACTTGGTATAGTTGGTTTTTCTTAGTTGAGTTGTAAACACTAATAAGGATTGTGTGATTGAGAAGAACTGAGTATGGTCTCATATTTAGGGCGAGTCCTTAAATAGAAAGTCACTAGGATTAGGAAGAGACTTTGAACAACATGAAGTTTGTTGGTTCTTATAATACTAAGTGTACTAACTTGAAGTAATGAATTTTCTTTTTTGGTAGAGTTCCCGCAGACGTGGGTGTGATTTCATCAAACTGAATTATCAATCTCTTGTGTTTTTACAACTTTCTCTTAAGAATTTTATCAACATAAAAATCAAATCAACGGGTTAATGCAGACTTCATACCTGCAAGCACATAAATTAAAACTTGGAATATTCCCCGATCTACTATAGGAGGAATAATTCTTATGGTATAGGAACAGACAGAGAGGGCACTATAACTGGGTCATCTTCTACCGAAAGAGAATGTGGAGCTTTCTAAGCTTCAATAACCACAACAACTATGTGATGTTGAGCGTAAGTCAAGTAACCTTCGATGTCAGTATGGCTTTGCAAGCTCGATATCTAATCCGTTCAAGAAAGATATTTGTGCTTCATGATAAGAACAACAATGATTTAAATCTTCGGTGAATAGACAAAGGTTTTTCTTGGAAAATGGTCGGAATCAATAGTTGTTTCTCATAGACGGAGTCATTGTTTTGCTAAAAAACAACATATAGGTGATGAAGTGATATACTAAAGCTTAGATGTGATGGATCAGACTTTCGGTTTCATAGATCGGACTTCCGGTGCTGTGGAAAAGGGATGGACCTGCAAATTCAACACTTTAACGTCCAACTCAGTGAATGAGTAAAAAGTAGTTTTTAAAGTGGGAATATATTGAATATCTGAAATCATGCAAAATAATCTTTATAAAGTATGGACGGTTAAAATCATTCGTGTGTGTTTCAATGCCTTGTGCGAGTTGTTGTTCGATTAGATCTAACAATGAGAAATATGATGGCAGACATGATTGTGCGTTCTCGACAGAGTCAAAAATTCACTTATTCCGTGTATCTTCTTTTCCGACACTCGTTATTGGGCATTCTTTGAAGACCTTGTGAACAACCTATAATTAACTATTTATTTTATTGTATATTAATTTCTTTTATATTTGTCTATCTTTAGTTGAGCATGTGCATAATATTGTGCAATTGCTTCTTATTGAATTTATTTTTACTTTTATAAAAATAAAAATAAAATCTTATGGCTGATTAAGAAGATTTTTTTTCTTTCAAAATAACCAAATTTTTCACCAAATTTTTTTGAATAACCATGTTTTTCCATTAATTTCTAAACTATCTATGTTTAAAAAAAACTTAAAAAGGGTCAAATCTACTACTTATCTCATTACTTAAGTTAGTGAGCTCAAACATTAATTACTTAATTTCCAACCAAAATACGACCAAATTAGTGAATTAAAATGGAAGCACTACTCATAAAATCTATAATTAATTTGCAAAAGGATAAAGGTTTAGGAACATACTCTTAATTCTTTATATGTATTTAGTTGATATGTTGTTCTAAGCAATTTTTTTTATGTCCAAGCAATGTGTGTGTGTGTGTCAGAAATGTCTTTGCTTTGGTGAGAAAGTATGTAACGACACAAGTAAGTTACAAATGATAGCTTAATATTACCTAATACCTAATCACCCTCTCCACCTAATTTCCAAGACCAAATTCATTAAAAAAATGTTTATATTTATTTTGTTATTCATAGTACAATCATTTAAATAAAAAGGGAAAGTATATAAAGTGATTGTGATTATCAATCTTCCATGCACACTTGTCTTTGAAGCAAAGCAACATCTATACCACCCACCATATATATTTCTAATTGGAGTAAAAACACAATTATCACAAAACGTCTCTACTTGCTTACATCATTTAAGAATGATATATGGTTTTTCTCAAAATATAATAACCTATCAGAATGTATATTTTAATTATTAAAATGTAAATGCCAAAACTATATGAGTTGAGAGATTTTGAATTTTTATCCGAATTAGCGATTGGATTAATTTATAAATATAAAAATATTTAATTTTTTAATTAATATAATAATGGTAAGTTTGAGAAAATTATAAACTTTAAGATATAAATTACAAACTATAAACTTGTGAAAATATTTTAAAAAATTAAATATGTTTGAATTAACTTATTTGAATTCTTTATAATTTTTGAAAATTATTTTTATAAAATTTTCAAGATAACTAACTTATGAAATATATATATATATATATATATATATATATATATATATATATATATATATATATATATATATATATATATATATATATATATATATATATATATATATATATATATATATATATATATATATATATATATATATATATATATATATATATATATATATGTTTAAAATTTATTTTATTTTTATCATTAAAATATTTTATACCATTTTAATTTTATTTTTATTAAATTATATTTATAAATATTTTAATTATTTCTAAGTATATTTTCATCTTAATTAATTAAACATATTAAATTTATTATTATTTTTATGGAAAATTATATTGTTTTTTGTATAAACTATAATAAATATGATATGTAAATTCAATATAAAGAATAACACATTTTATATTCTTTGTTTAAATAACTTTAAATAGACATTTCTATTTTTCCTTATTGTGAAAGCAAGCTTGAGTTCAATTCATAATTTCCATTTTTCTTTCTAACTAGTATAGTCGTTTCTCTACTTTCCACTTTCTCCTACATATTAATACTACATTCTATAAATTTATTTTATTTTTCTCTTCCAATTAGTCTTTTAGATCAAAGTCTAGTATAGTTTTCTATATTAATGTAAATAACATTGAAATGTGTTGAGATTTGGTGAATGCATGCAAATAATGAAGCCACCGTTCTCACCTTCTTCTTCCATCATTCGAAACAAAGGTCGTTTCTCCACTTATCTTTTCACCCTTCTAGCTTTCATAATCTTTGTTACTATCCTCTATGGTGAAGACTTCATGTGCATCTTTGGTCAACAACTCCAAAGCTACTCTAACCAAGACAAAATCTACTCCACACCTGGTAAGTTCATTCATTGCTTCAAAAAATGCTACAACAATTTTCATTTGACGTTTTTTGTATATTGTTTTGATTGTGTTGTGTTTTGGGGGTGAATTATGAAAAAGAGAGGGTGAAGAAGCATGTGAAGGTGCCGTTTGCTGTGGGGAAAACAGAAGAAGGGTGTGATATATTCAGTGGAAGATGGGTTTGGGATGAGGTGAGTCGACCGTTGTACGAGGAATCGGAATGTCCGTATATACAACCTCAGTTAACTTGTCAAGAACATGGGAGGCCTGACAAAGATTATCAACATTGGAGGTGGCAACCGCACGATTGCGATCTTCCTAAGTAAGTGTTTTGATTAGGATATTTTTAACTTCTTTAGATAAATGAAATTTAAATATTATCATATACGATCAGACACTATGTGTCATGTTATGTTCTGACGTCTGTGTCAGAGTCTGTGATTCGTAGAGTATAATGAACATATTTTGTGTGACAAACAATGCAGATTTAATGCAAGCTTGATGCTCGAAACACTTCGTGGAAAGAGAATGATGTTTGTTGGAGACTCTCTGAACCGTGGTCAATATGTTTCATTTGTATGCCTTCTCCATCAACTCATTCCTGAAGATGCCAAATCCATGGAAACCTTTGATTCTCTCACTGTTTTCACAGCAAAAGTAAATCACATGTACCTTCTAACTCAAGCTACTACTCTCTATGTCCCTTTTTTCTTCCTTTTTTGATACTCATGTGTTCAATTTAATCAGGAATACAATGCAACAATTGAGTTCTATTGGGCACCATTTCTTCTAGAATCAAACTCGGATAATGCTGTAACTCATAGAATATCTGATAGAGTTGTAAGAAAAGGTTCAATCAATAAGCATGGTCGAAATTGGAAAGGCGTTGATATTTTAGTATTCAACACTTATCTTTGGTGGATGACCGGTTTGAAGATGAAGATCTTGTAAGTTCCATCTTTAACTCTCTATTTCTGTCACACAAAACGTGTTTTTATAATCTACATGTTTCATAATTTTCCTAATTTTCAGACTTGGATCATTTGATGATGAAGTTCAAGAGATTGTGACAGCTTCAACGGAAGATGCTTATCGAATGGCAATGAAAAGTATGCTCAGATGGGTAAGGTTGAATATGGATCCAAAGAAAACTAGAGTCTTCTTCACTAGCATGTCACCTTCTCATGGAAAGTAAGTATATCTTTTTTCTTTTTATTGTCAGGGTCGTCTTTCAGAGCGTACTAAAATATTATCATAGTAAAATTACGATTTAACTGTATAATTATAATCTACACACTACCTTCAAAAATTTAAGACCTCGATTACTCATTTTCTTTTGACAGGAGTATAGATTGGGGAGGTGAAGCAGGAGGAAACTGTTACAATGAAACAAAATTGATTAGTAATACAACATATTGGGGATCAGATTGTAGAAAAAGTATAATGCAAGTAATAGGTGAAGTGTTGAGCAAAACAAAAGTTCCAATAACATTTCTGAACATCACACAGCTCTCAAGTTACAGAAGAGATGCACACACTTCAATATACAAGAAGCAATGGAGCACTTTAACTCAAGAGCAACTAGATAATCCTGTAAGCTATGCTGATTGTGTTCACTGGTGTTTGCCTGGTCTTCAGGATAATTGGAATGAACTTTTGTTTGCGAAGTTGTTTTATCCTTGAAAATTGCAAGTGTTTCAAATGTATAAAGATTCTTTGTTGTTCTCAATTGGATCATGGATTATTTGGTGTGACATGTTCATTGTACATGAGGAAAAAGAATAGCAAATGGTGGTTCATTTTTGTTTGCTAACATGTATGTGATTGTAACAGGGAATGAATCAAAACGGTTTCACTGTTACTAATTGTTCAAGCAAACTGCAAAGCTTTGGTTCTAATGAGCTATACATTGTTATTAATCAGTGACATGAGCGGTAAGCTTTCACATGGCGTAAATAGATAAATATTTGAATGAAAAAACACATAAATCTATATTTTAAAAAAAATTTAAATTTGTTTAAAATTTAATTTTTTAAAATTGAAATTATGGAGTGGTTGTGAAATAAATGAGAGAAAAAATTTAAATTTTATTTTTTAATTACGTGAATAAATACGTGTTATAGTTATTTTTATTTAAAATTTTCCGACATAAATATTATTGTGACAATTTTACATGAGACTCCCAACATCGTAACTACATACTTCTAAATGTAGGCGGAAAAATTTATAGATCAACCTATGTATCTCACACTCCCGTTCACAACTCTCAATGAGGTAAGTTGTGGAGGCGTCAGATATGTTTCTGATTCTTATGATTACAGAGGGGACTTAGCCATATAATATATATAACCCTAGTCCCTACCCATTATGGTCTCAAGGTTAAAGCCCACACTTTTTCCCATACCAAACAGGTTTTATATACTCAACCTTTATTTAAAAGAGATCACTTAACTAATAAAGTAACTTATATATGCACTCCCATCAGAATCACGATTAACCCGTTTTTCACAAACTAAACAACAATTGATTGTAACCCAGAAAAAGTTAGATAAATCTAACATTCTTCCACTTGGATAAAATCAATTGTATGATTTTTATTTTAAAATACATTTTGAAAATGACTCTCGGGTTAATGACTAATTCCTTAAAATGCATGATTTCAGGTGCAGTATCTGAATATGTTTTCATCCAACGAAAGTCAAGCAATATTGAATCACAACGATTATTTATCCTTCATTGACATAAAACCTTCTGTGGTTACAAATACTACGGACTCCGTCAACTAGTCATCAGTGTGGAGTGTGGCAAGAAAATAACATGGTAATGTGATCCAACAACTAACTATTATTTTCTTTGTCAGTCCTTAACAATTTCTCTCAAATGCATTAAATCCAAAAAAATTGCATGGTTTTACAAACCATAATGCCTCAGCTCCAATACGGCATCGACCGTCGACACAATGGTCCAGACAACGCCGAACTTAAAATCATACCTCAGCTCTAATATGACATCGACCACCGGTATAGTGGTCCCGAAGATACCGAGCTCAAAATTGTAACTATACCTTGAACCTCAAACTAGTGTCGACCATGGGCATTGTGGTCCCAATGACACTGAGTCCTAATTTTAACAATTGGCATATAAATAAACAATGACAAATAATAATAACAATATTCATTGTAATATCAATTGCTTAAAATTGAAAGTACACAAAAATCCAACACTTAAAGTGTCCAAAATAAAACACATAATGATAAGAAAATGACATAAATAACAAACTCCCACTAACCAAGCACATCAAAAGAACTCACAATGCCCATATTCTCAACATGGTTTTTAAACACAATGGGCCTAAGTCCCTTAGTTAGGGGATCAGCTAACATAAAATCAGTACCAATGTACTCAACAACAATGTCATTTTTCTTTATAAAATCTCTGACTATCAAATACTTCAATTCCAAATGCTCAGTACCGCTAGAAGTTTTATTATTCTTGGAGTAGAACACAACTGCACTATTATCACAGTAAAGCTTTAGTGGCTTCGCAATGGAATTAACAATACGAAGTTCTGTCACTAAATTTCTTAACCAAACAACATGAGTGGCAGCAACATAACAAGTAACAAACTCTGCCTGTATAGTAGAAGAGGCGACAACAATTTTCTTTTTACTCTTCCATGATATTGCACCTCCAGCCAACATAAAAATATAACCAAAAGTAGATTTCCTATCATTAACACACCCACCAAGATCAGAGTCAGTATAACCAACTATTTCCAAGTTGTCAACTCTCTTGAAAACAAGCATATACTCTTTAGTTCTCTGCAAATATCTCATCACTTTCTTAGCAGAAATCTAATGATCATTCCTAGGGTTAGACTGGTTTCGTCCTAAGACGCCAACTATTAAAGCAACGCTAGACCTAATGCATACTTAAGCATACATCAGGCTGCCCAATGCACTGTCAAAGAGTTTTCCCTTCATCTCTGCCCGCTCAATCTCATATTTAGGACATTGATCTTTACTGAATTTGTATCCTTTAGTAATTGGAATATCTCATGACTTACAGTTTTGCATATTGAACCTCTCCAGAACTCTATCAATATAAGCCCTTTGTGACAAACCAAGCACACCACGTGATCTATCTCTGTGCATTTCAATTCCCAACACAAAGGATGTTTCACCAAGATCCTTCATATCAAAGAACTTAGTTAGCATAAGTTTGTTCTTATGAAGTAGACCAAGATCACTACTGGCAAGCAAAATATCATTAACATAGAACACAAGAAAGATGAATTTGCTCCCACTGGCCTTAAGATAGATGTGCTGATCAAATTTATTTTCTTCAAAACCTAATGAAGTTACCACCTCATCAAATTTCAAGTACCATTGTCTAGAAGCCTCTTTCAAACCATAAATAGATTTTCTTAATTTACAAACCAAATGCTCATTACCACTTGTCACAAAACCCTCAGGCTGCTGCATGTACACCTCCTCATTAAGATCACCCTTCAGAAAAGCAGTCTTAACATCCATCTAATGCAATTCCGAGTCAGAATGTGCTACAAGGGCCATAACAATTCGAAAAGAGTCTTTAGTGGAAACAGGAGAAAAAGTTTCATTAAAATCAATCCCCTCCTTTTGTGTGAAGCCCTTAGCCACATGTCTTGTTTTAAACCTCTCAATTTTACCTTTTGAGTCCTTCTTTGTTTTGAATATCCACTTGAAGCCAATCGCCTTACAGTTTCTTGGTAACTCCACTAGTTACCAAACATCATTATTTACCATGGATTTCATTTTATTGTGCATTACATTTGTCCACATGCTAGATTGAGGACAAGTAATAGCTTCTAGATAATATTTAGGATCAATAACACTACCGACATCATAAGCATCCTAACTAAGATAAACTACAAAATCATCAGAGATAACAAGTCACTTTTGTCTTACTAACCTCCTAACATGAATTTTCTCAACTGGCTCATCAGGTTCTGCAACCTCAGCTATAACAGAAGGATTAACTACATTTTCAATAAGTGGTTCAATCACATCTTCAACTAGATGTTCAGCCACATTCTTATTTGAAGAAAAACCTCCATGAGCAATGGATGATCTAGCATTGTCAAAAGTAGGCAATGACAAAGTAACAACATCAGGCATAACATAGTCAATATTATCATATGCAATGACAGGCTCAACAACATCAAGCTTAATAAATTTTGTATGCATAGACTATACAATTTTATTGCCTCTACCAGGACAGAAGAATTTGTATCCTTTAGCTCAATTTAGATATCCAATGAAAAAACAACGACTTGTTTTTGGGTCAAGCTTTATTTCAAAAGGATTATGTATTTTAACCTTTGCGGGGAAACCCTAGACACAGAGGTGGTTCAAACTGGGTTTTCTACCTGTCCAAAGCTCAAAAGGTGTTTTTTGGAACTTATTTACCAGGAACTCTATTCAGTATATAGAGTTGTTTTTAAAGCATCACCCCATTAAAATTCTAGTCAATTACACCTACCCATCATGCTTCTCATCATATCGTTAAGAGTGCGGTTTCGCCTTTCGGCTACACCGTTTTGTTCAGGAGTACCAGACATGGTGTATTGTGGAACAATTCCAAAATCTTGCAAGTATTTTGCAAAAGGCCCCATATGTTACCCTGTAGAATCATATCTACCATAATACTCTCCACCACGGTAATAACGTACCACCTTTATCACTTTTTCCAGTTGCTTTTCAACCTCAGTTTTAAAGATTTTAAACTTTTCAAGTGCTTCTGATTTTTTCTTAATAAAGTAGAGATAGCCATACCGACAAAAATCATCAATAAAAGTGATAAAATATTTATTACCAAAAATAGTAGGAGAAAGGGGGCCGCTAATGTCTGTATGGACTATTTCCAAAAGGTCTGAACTTCTAGTCGAAACCTTTTTATTGGTCTTGGTAAATTTTCCTCTAATGCAATCCACACAAGTCCCTAAATCACTAAAACCTAAGGAAGGTAAAATATCATCTCTAATTAACCTTTCAACTCTTTCTTTAGAGATATGACCTAGACGCTTGTGCCACAACAAAAAGGGTTTTTCTCTGATTTTAGTCCTTTTAGCAATAGAGCTCTCAACATTCAAAGATGATGAAATATTATCACAATCCAAGGACAACTTATATAAACCATCCAACAAGATACCATTACCAATAACTTGAGAATTCAACATCAAATTTATTTTTCCATCATAAAAACTAAACCGAAATCCAACTCTATCCAAACAAGATACCGGAATTAAATTCCTCGTAAAAGAAGGTACATAAAATGTATCTTTCAAAATAAGTTCAAAACTAGTTCCTAAAACTAATCTAACATCTCCCACTAGCTCCACAATGACTTCAAGATCATTTTCTACCCTGAGTTTGCTTTCCCTTAAGTTTGGTTTCCGCTGGTTTCTGAACCTCTCTAGATTTGTTTTTGTTGTCTAACCAAGCTTTAAAAGCATGACAATCGGTTTTCTTATGCCTCTTTTCCTTACACCAAAATCAACAAAAGGATTTTTTAAAAGCAACAAGCTTAATACTTCATATATTATGGTGTTGACCATTACCTATTTTCCTAAATTCAGGATATCTATGAGAATTACTATGAGTGTTTTTCTTATTTTTTCAAGAACTTTCACTAGAATGGGG